TCCAAGAACACTCCCCTGAGGAGTTCCAAGTTCTATTTCATGTTTTTTAGAGGTATAGTTATCAATTTTCACTACCATTTGTGAATGACATGAGCCAGTCGTTAATATGACCACGTATTCCAAGAGAATTTAACTTGATTTTTAAAATTTCATAGTTTAGGGTGTCAAAGGCTCGGGATAAGTCAAAGAAAATTTCATATACTAACTTATTGGCATCCATTTGGTCATAAATATATTATACGAGTTCAGTAGCCATATTGGCATATTGTCAATGATTTGAATTCAGCCAAGAAGTCATTTATTCGGATACACATGCCCTTTTCAAATATTTTTGAAATTGGATTCTGCGGCCCTTACGTTCGCGTTCATAAACGATTATATCTTCTTTCTGTATGTTTGTGCGCACTGGCCTCAGGCAGTGCAGGCATACAGTATTATGGGCATGAGAACGGTTTTAATCATCAGCAACTTTACTTACAACCCCATGTTGCTTCTGCGTCCTATAATTGGTGCCAGGCGTTGTCTTGCATGTCTAGCCATTCCGATTCTCTGCCGTACGTGAGACTGAAATGTTAGTTTTCTGTATAGGATGACCCCCAGGTATGTCGCTTGGTTGGTCCACGGAATCTCTTGTCCATTGAAGGTGACGTTGCCTTCCGGTTGTACTCGCCTGCGAGTGAAGAGTATCGCCTGACTCTTGTCAGGGTGTATACTGATCTTCTACAGGTTGGCCAACTCCTCTAATCTGTCTGCCTGTTGCTGCAAGTATCCCGTGACATGCGCTTGGCTCGTGGATCTCGCCAGTATTTTTTTTTTATTTCTATCATGGTCCAATTTTATTCAGTCTTGTGTCAGTTCGCATAAGAAACAATTCCAATCTCAATAAATTGGAAAAATCAATCAAAATATTCATTATGTTCAATACCAAACTTCTCGATTTATTCGGCTAAACGATGTTCAGCAAGCTCTTCATCATTCCCCATATTCATCAATTCTGTATGTATATAGGTATAGATATAAGATAGTTACATATAATTGAATACCCTGAGTGGTAGATGGAAAGCGCAATACAAATACTTTAGTTACTTAGGTGCATCCATCTTCACACCGAGGGTGATGAAACTGTATACTCCTATTTAAACTGTAAAAATGATGACCTATAAATAAATTTTGAAATCTTGAATTTGGGTTTGGGTTAGGTTTAACTGGAAGAACAGATGATAGTCTGCACCTTCCGGTGCCAATTATTGCCATACTCAATCTCGCCCATTTCCTTTTTTCAATTCACATATACGATTGTAACTGAAAATTATCAAAATATCTTTATTAGTAGTATTATATATGAATATTCCGCCACTAGAATCAATGGTAATGATGAAGGAATGGTTTCAACTGACGAAAAACTACTCAAAAGGCAGTTTATTAAAACATTATCAGAAAAGTACCAAAGTAACTGAATTTTTCAGCTTGTTCGTAGCATGTGATATTTGAGTGCGATATAAGATTATAATTAAAACATTCACCTTCTATAGTAACATTTTGTTCATTCATAACGAAACTTTGTGTACTCGTTTATGTGTTTCTGTTTTATTTGAATGAACATTATCGCACACTTATATTATTACATGAATATAATATCTACTGTAACAACGGTGGTCATATGTGGGGATATACTTTCTATAGTTTGGAAAAGAGCGATACACCTGAAAGTAGAATCAGAAATCACATTATTATAAACATCATTTCAGAAGTGAATGATGAGTAGAAAAAAATAGATACACGATACTTATACACTTGTTGATACAGTTCATTATAATACATTGTTTTCAGATATGGAAGTAATGGTTTTACCCATAAATGAGGCCAATCATTCATTCAGTTAGCAAGTCTCATCATTCATTTCAATGATCTTTCTTCATCGAATTCAATAACTCAATTAATTTATTCAATCTAGCATTGTAATTATTTATGGAAGGATTCAAAGAGGAAGCCGATGTGCGATTCATAAAAAGTAAGTAGTTGAATAGTTTATATCTATAGAAAGACCCGCTTCAGTGCGAAAGCCAAATAATGATTCCAGAGGCAAATTCTTGATTCTTTCAGTTACACTATTGCATTTTTCGTAGGGATCTATAATTCATTTCTGAGAATGGAACAGAGCCGGGTTGTTTGATGATCATGTACATTTTGATAAGTAAAAGAATTTTCAGAATATTTGAAGTAGTTTTTGAATTTCTCCATTACAAACAAGCACATCAAAAATAGAATCTTTTCTTTTCACAATATTCGTAAAGGAGTTTGAATGAGTAAAAAATAAAATTCCAAATGGCAATGTTCTGTTCAATTCTATGTTTTTCATCGTCATTTCAATTCTCATTACTCTTGAACATGAATATGCATTTATTCAGTAACCAAATTTGTAGCCAAATGAACTGAAACTTAGTTTCATAATTTTTTTCCCAACAAATATTTGGCGTGATAATTCGAATGTACATTTTTTTTTGTCATATACCGATTGAACTGAAGCAAGTGTAGTGTAGTGAATGAGTACGGTACCCAGATCGGTTAGGTCAAACAGAGAATTCAAAATTCTGAGAAGTATTATTTGGGGTTCTTATGTTCAAAAATAGTTTTGGTCGAATATCAACCATATACAGACAGCAATCAGTTACACCTTTATTATATGTGTTGAATCTCACTTTGGAAATATAAGTTTTTGAAAATTCAATTATTACGAAAAAGGAAAACAGAACTGTGTTCCCTTGAGTTATAGATTACAAAATATAACGGAACAAACTTGTAACTTGAATGCATTTCTAATGTAACTATAACTGATTAATTCCGACACGCAGGGCGTATTCCTAGGAAAATGATTGATTACATATTCTGATATTGGAAAAGAAAAAAAATAAGGTTTTTGTGTCGTTGGGAACCGAGTATACCCGGATGTCGATTCAACATAAGTCATCATTGACATTGATCTTGTTCATCAATGTCACCTTGAGTATGAATAGAGAAGGTCAATAAAAACATATAATAACTCCCTTCATATTCAAAAAGTTGATGCTATGCGACAACTTCTTATGACTGGGAATGGAAAACTACGAAATGTATTACAATGCGTTCAGGTAGATTTTTTTCCTCTGAAATTTCGTCTCTAGGACTAGGTCTTCGACTTGGAAAAATACTGGTTCCAGAGGTCTGAAAGGTCTGGGTGGAGGGAACGGAGGGTAGTTTGAGTCTTCAATGACTAGGTTTTCGTTGCGCTTTCTTCTGCATTGACAGATAAAGTATGAAATTATTAGTACAACGATGAGTGTGTTGATAAAATGAGTAAACCATGATTGCCAAATTGATCGAGAAGGTTTGATATCATTGGGAGAGGGTATTTGTCATCTAGACAGTTCATTCAACATCCGGTAGTCGACAACTTCTCACCATTTCTGTTTTTCAGATGCGTCAATTTTTTTTTGTAACAACCCACACTGAGGTGACCAGGGATGAATAAAAGGGCGTATGATTCCGTCTTTTAACATTTCATTCATTTGTGTTTCGAGTTCCTCTTCTTGGATTTGGGGTCATTCGAAAATGTCGTCAATTTCTGCAGTGTAGGTTTCTGGATTTGATGTGATTTGGTATTTTGTTTTGAGGTGTTACTGAAATGTTTTCAACATCCGATACTATGAGGAGAGGTATTGTTTTCGAATATGTTATTAATTATCTGTTGATATATATACCATTATAATGTGATCTATTCAAACCCAAATACCAATACTGAACTCGTTTTCTTAGAAACCGAACGATCATTGTTAGCTCTTTTGTTAGTTTTTTCAATTATTGGCATACCTCAGACATCATTCAAAGATTTAGATAATAAGATAATTTTTTGCAATCCCTAATTCAAAGTGTATTTCTCCTGAATCAGTTTTGGTCAAAATTCGATGTATTGAATTGACTAAATTACTGATATGCTATTTACCTATGTGAAATCAAATGAAATTCACTTTTTCTTAAGAAATATGTATGGTGAGTGACAGGTCCGTATTTGAAAAAAAAGGTGATGGTGGCCGTGGTCATTCATTAATCTATCATTTCATCATTCTACTATATTTCGAATACAATGAAATCTTCTCTCCATTCTTTATATTTTCTGAAATGAACGGAAGGCAGTATTTTCAGTTTTCCCTGTATAACTCGAGAAGGACAGAAGTCTCTGCAAATTTTTCTTCACGATGGTTGAATTTTTTGCACAAGATAAAAGAAACGGCCTGTACAGCTGATACAGTAATCAAGAAACAATTTATTGTGAGAATTTCACTGAACCATTTCACGAAAAACGCGTTTTAGTAAAACTGTTCAATGAAAATCTCACAATAAAGTATTTCTTGAAACAAACACTTTCGTGGAGGATAGTACCTTCTGATTAGATCAAGTAGGTATGATGACCACATTAGGCTACTTTGGAATATATTCTTCGAAAACCAATATGAACTACGGTCTCCAAATTGAGCCTAAGTTTTTTTGCTTTCGAAAGTGTCCCATCATTCGACTGCTATAAAAAAATTGAAGTACACTGTTCTTGTGTACAGTTATTGTGACCATTAGTTAACTTTTTTTTCAATTTATGATTATATGGAAGTTCAAATTGAAAATCTAAAAATCTTTTCGAAGTGAAAGCTTGTACCGTTATATCTCAAGTAGCCTTTCACACAGTGTCGTTTGATTATCGATATACCAATTTCCTGAAAAATAAGTACCTTTTTCTTTCAGTGTCGGTTATTTCTGTTCGACAGCCGGAAAATGGAACTCCACCCCCACCTGGAGACAAATATAACATAGTGTACATGCTTTTCTTTTTCTTTGGATTGGGAGGAGTATTACCCAATGTTTATTTCATGACTGCAACTGACGTACGTATATGATATTGATTGTAGGTAATGTTTCTTGGAAGGTTACTTGATTTTTTCCTTAGTACTGGATGTATAAATTTCGAGATCCAACTCAAGAGAACTATGATTCCCACAAAAGAAATCAGTTGCAAGCAAATTTCATGGGTATTTCAGCGACAATACATTCTGTTCCAGGTTTGGTGACAACTATGATATTGACAAGATATGGACATAAAATTCACATCCGAATAAGAATTTTAGTGTCACTGATCGCTATAGTTGTCATTTACATTTTATTCACTGCATTCGTTGTAGTCAATACAGATTCATGTGAGTACAATTTAAGTTGAATTGTTAAACAATATTTTCAGAAAATAATATCAGCTCTTTACCTCTCTTCTTTGTGTATAAAAACAAAACACGTTTTCGATTATTTCTCCCGCATACATATCTGAGGAATGTACTCTCCCTAAGAATACTCAATGATGAATAAATTACAAACATACAAGATGAAATGAAATTTCCAAAATGACTTGAAACTATAATATCTAGCATGAAATAAATCCAAAAAAAAGACTTTTCCTAATTACCTGAACTGCAGTACTGAGATTTTTTCAATTTCATAAGTAGCAATGACAGTTTGATCAGTTCATACAAAAAAACTGACATTTCGAATTCAAATTAGTTTCACTGTCGTTTTGATGAGTTCAATATTGTACATTGATCATTTGGAATTTCCTACTGAATGTGAAATTATACAGTTTTGATTCTGAAATTACTGGAGACTTGAGACAGCTTTGCACAGGTAGCAGAACATATATGATAGGTATATGCATACATTCTGACAAAGTTTTTTGTTTCACAGTTGGTAACTGATGATAATGACCTCTGTCATGGATTCACTCAAAAAAGTGTAACAACAAATATCGATTTTAATTTTTAAGTAGGTGCATACATAGGTATATACCTGAAGACAACCGAAAACGTAAATGATACAATTTTTTGAGTGATATACTACGTGAAACAAAACCAACGCAATTGTAACCTTTTTTTATTGTTTGAATAGAAATCGTAATTGACATGGAATACTAGGAGTAACTATTATCATGAGAATGAATGTTACATTCTTCTGTGTACTTTCTAATAACCAGATAATATTTCACCATTATTTAGAATATAGACATCATCTCAAACTTTTTTAGAGAACTACAACAGGATAATGATATGTTTTGCTACGTCTCAAAAGAGAAATGAGCTGCTCTCCGGGCAGTTTCACTGCTCAATTTCCTCACGGAAAACGTCGATATATTTCAACCATTTCAATCAACCTTTCTCTTGAATCACTTACTCCACAGTTGAAAACCATAAGACTATTCGTTGGTACTTGTTGAGTTCATTTCATTCAAATCAAACAGGCATGTATCGATACTATCACGGCAGCAATCCATTTATTCTAATTCGTTCCATTTTTATTTGATTACTTATCCAAATCTACATGCTCCCCCCAATTTCATGAAGATTTGAGAAAAAAAATACTGCCAACCCTTCAATCGGTATTTTTACATAAGTGTGAACTCATTAAATATGTAGATTTTTTTAAATACTTGGATTATTTTTTAGGGCAATTAGCATTCTTCGTTTTGACCTTGGTGGTATCAACTTCAATATGTGGTAAGTGATAATATAGCGGTTTTAATCATACATAGGATATGAACTCAGAAACTTCCCAGTCGAATATTATATGTTATTGGGAATAACATTAAAAGTCGAATCGACACATACATTTTTTTACACTTTCAGTTTCAGAGAATGTGTTCAGCCCACACGAACTTTCACAACATGTAAATGTAATGAAATTATAACGACAGAGAATCTGCACAATTGTTTTGGTACGAAAATTTAATAATTGATAGACTTGTAATATTTTTAACTCATGCTCGTCAGATATGATGGGTTGATTGAAAACTGAAAATATTTTGTGGCAAAATAAACTCCGCTTTGATGCCAAGGGGAGGAATTGAAAAAAAGCATTGAAAATGTAGAATATAGTTAGTAAAGACACGCCCGAAGAAGTCATCGCATGACGAAACATGTGTTGCTTTTTTGTAAAAGTGTTTTTTGAATACGTCAGTTATGGATTTTTATCAAGTATTGGACAATTCCATCTAAAATGAAAAATGAATTTTCAACAACATATCAATTCTCTATTTAAGTGGTGCTTGATGTGACACACTGTATACTAAAAACTTGCTGCTGACTTGTTATTCTGGTACCGTTAGTATCAATTCCAGTCATTCAACTAACTAGTCATTTTTCAATAGAAAAATCTCCTTTTTCTCGATCGAAACAAGACGGGACGAAAATATATTTTGGCAATATTTCTTGCTCGTTTCTTTTGTAGCCCTCAAAAACTTTGGTCAGTTCGTAGACGTTTACAAATCTATCAATAATTTTCTCCGGATCCTTCGAATCCAAACTGAAGAAAATAGAGAGTATAAATAACCGATGGTGTAAATTGAACGGAATTAAAAAACAAAATTTGTTGCTATATCGATGCTAATTAGTTGCTAAAACGTTAATTTCGTTGCTCGAACCGATCGCGAAAAATAGTCAACAGTCGTGGCTTCCTGATAAGATAGCGTGAAACTGACTTAAATTTGAATTCATGGATCAAAGAAATGGAGATGCACTTGTTTTCAATTTGTTGATGTGAGATGCTACAAAAAAAAAATGTATTCGATATCTTTCAGCGAACTCAAATGAAAAAGTGTCCACCATAGCTTAACTCTCGATTTTGTTGTTTTAAAACTTGAATAATTATTTTTTGCTCCTCATAAAACGCACTTATTGAGTGCAGAGAGTCAGCAACAAAATAAAAACTGAAAGTAGGAAGAGTTCAGAGATCGGTATACCTACGAACGGGCCACGCTAGCTCAACTCTCGATTTTTCCATAAAAAAACTTTCAATAATAATTTGTTGCTCCTCATAGGATGCATGCACTGACCGAATAGGGAGATTCAGCAACAAAAGTAAAACCTGGAGTCGAAAAAGATTGAGACTAATAAACCTACAAGCCCGTCATGCTAGCTCAACTCTCTATTTTTTCGTGAAAAATTTTCTATAATAATTTGTTGCTCCTCATAAAACGCACGGACCCAGTGCAGACAGTCCGGCCACGCCAACTCAACTCTCGATTGTTTGGTGTTGAAACTTGAAATAATATTTGTTGCTCCTCATAGAATGCACTGAGTACAGAGAGTCAGCAACAATATGGAAACTGGAAGTCGGAAGAGTTCAGAGATCGATGTACCTATAAACAGGCCACGCTAGATTGACTCTTGATTTTTGCGTAAAAAATTTCTCATAATAATTCTTTGTTGCTCGTGAAATGAACTGTTTGAGTACAGAAAGTCAACATCAATATAGAAACCGAAAGTCGGAAGAGTTTGGAGATAGATATACCTAAAAACTGTTCAAACTAGCTCCACTGTCGATATTTCCGTATGAAACTTTGATTATTAACTTGTTGCTGCTCTCAAAATGAACTATCTGAGTACAGAGAGTCAGCCATGAAATGAAAACCGGAAGTTGGGAGAGGTTGGAGACTGGTAAAATCTGGCCACGCGAAATGTCGAAAATAATTTTATCTCAACAGCATAAATAATATTTAGACATATAATAACTGACTTAGAGTTACTTAAAATCTTACGAAATGAGAAATAGTAAAAAAAGGACTCCAAAAGCACTATCAGTACCGTGAATGGTTGTATAACAAGCAACAAATTATTCTACAAGTTCCATACGGAAAGTCTAGAGTTAAGCTAGCGTTGCCGGTTTGTCGGTATACCGGTCGCTGAACTCTTTCAACTTCTGGTTTCTATTTTGTTCATTCAAAGAGCAGCAACAAATGAGTAAACAATGTTTCTTATGAAAAAATCGAGAGTTAAACTACCGGTCTCTAAACTCTTTTAAAATCCAGTTTCAATTTTGTTGCTGACTATCTGCATTTAGTCAGTGTGTTTCATGAGGAGCAAAAAATTATTATAAAAAGGATTTTACGAAAAAGTCGAGAGTTGAGCTAGCGTGGCCTGTTCGTAGTTTAACCAGTCTTCAAACTTTTTCGACTTTCTGTTTGAATTCTTTTTTCAACTCCGTGGAATTTACACTGCCAGTTTTTCAGACCTATGAAATATTCACATATATGTTTTAAGTATTGCAGATAATCTTCCAATTCAGTAATTTGGCGTTGATATCAAGATTTCCCAATGAATATTTGAAAAGTCAAATGTATGGAACAAGTTCGTCAGGTATCATTAGTGCAGTTATACAAATAATATGCTTGGCAATAGGTGAAACTCCGACAGAAAGTGCATTGATTTATTTTTCAACTGGAACATTCATATTAACGGTTACATTGATTCTGGCATATGTAAGCAAAAATCTTCCTTTTTTCCAATATTATTTGGGGGATGCTGTGGCAGATGTAAAAAAACCTGTGCATACCTTGACCGAAATGAAAGAAGTAACTATAAAAATTTGGCCTTTGATAGGGATGATGTTTGTTGCCATTGCGACCATGTGCATCTCACATTCGAATATAACCAACCTTGTGGTTTCTGAGTGTTATGGAGAGAATCAGTGGTGTGGTAAGTGGAATGAAATATTTCAATTGTTTTTAAAGAATATAGTAATATTTCTGACGATTTTGATGTATTGGAAAATTATATTGCATGTACTTCATCCATTGGAGTTTTCAAGGTAAAAATATTCCGAATGATATCAATGTATTCAATATTTTGTATCAACAATATATTGTTTGCATACTGGTATCGCGTCATTCAATGAAGTGGGTTTATCTTGGCATGGAATTTTTCAACTCTCTTTTAATCATTATGAAGTATCAATTTCTGTATCTAATCACAGTCATCATTCCAACTGGAAATAATTGAAACATGAATAATCTTATAATAGCCTTGAAGCATAATTTTTTTGACCGAAAAGATGATCAGTTGAAATGTATTCTTATGAGTATCCATACATGCAAAAGGGAAATGTTTCGATATTATACCGATACAGTTCGGAGCTGAAATGATAAACTCTTTGAAATGTCTTCAATGGAAAAGTATTGCCAATAACGTAAAAAAAATACTTTCAAATTTTCAGGATATTCCTTATTAACATATTTATATGTGGAGAGGTTATTTTTAAGAAGATTTCAAGAAAGCATATGAACATATGAACTGAAGAAACACCCAACGTCGGGAATACTGAGTGCAAAAATTTCAACTAAACATTTCCATATTAGTTACTTTGTTATGCTATTAGATTTTTTTTGGAACATGTTTTAGTTTAATGTGTATCGAAAGACATTTTCAGCTGCACATCATAATTGATGCAGGAATTGCACTGACATATTCTTAAGTGAAAAGTAATATGTCACTGCTTTTTTTAGAGCACGAAATTATTTCTGAAATCTCAATTACTCCTTTGAAGAAGCTAGTCCCCTAATTGATTTTTGGTTGATGTTCAGTGTTTGCATGTGAAATTCAACGTTGACCCACGTTCCGAAGGAAGAAGTAACAACATTTTTCTTAGCTATACAACAGATGTTACTTTTAGAAGAGGAATCTTTGTATCTAGCCAGATCACCTTGCACGTCGTCTTGATTTCAGACAGGTTGGAACCTGGCTCTCTTACCTTTTGGACTGATGTTTGCCAGAAGGACAAACGGGTCATAACTGATGGTGAGTGTTAATGGTATGGCAGCATGAATGTCCTCAGACATCAGTACCGCCCTTCACGGTGTACCGATCATGATGTGAACATCGCTTCTTTTATGCCCAGGCAACCAGTCGCTTCCAACAACTGATTTATTACCTTGTGGATGCATGTATATGAACACTGAGAATAATACAACGAAAATGATCCCTCCATATGCAGGGTTGTCAAATTCGAGTCTATGAATAAGAATATCGGAAATTATGAGATATTGAAGTTAAATTCTGATAGAGTGGACTGTTTCAAAGCACTTTTGAATAATGTTGCAGTAATTGTCATTAGCAGAATGGATAAACAGAATAAACTGAAAAATTTAGAATGTTTTCATTGTAATTTCCTAGGGGAAGTAAAATTGTATTAAAAAATGACAAAGAATTGAAATAAGTATGTAATGTGTAAGTGACTACAAAAAAACCAAAAAAAAAGTTGAAAGTGGAGAATGAAGATGTTAACTATGAAATTAAGAACAAGTTCCCAAACTACAATCTTTTTGGTGAGATAGATAGATAGGTTCAGTTTCACTGATTTACAGTTTTTTGATTTTTAGCTGAATTACAACTGATTCATCGACTTCATGTCATCGTGATTAGAGGATTAATGAGGCTTCACAGGGCGGTGAGTTGCAAAGGCAAGCTTCGACATGATGACAGACAGATGACGAGATTCGTCATCTGTCTTCCACTGAAAGGAAACTAATTATTATAAAATGAAGGTCAAGTATTATGCATCTATGATTCAGCACCAGACAGCGCTGTTTCCACTCGCCATAAATCTCATCAGTGTTGCTAGGATGAACCACAAATGCATTGCAGGACTCAACAGTCCTTGAAGAAGAAGCCATATTGTTCATTTTGATTATTTTTATTCATGTCACGGCTAGGTATACAAATAGCCGTCAACTAGTAGGTAGGTAGGTAGGTCTAAAGTTAGTGGGTCTATTCGACCCTCCACCGCAACCCATAAGGGTTTATTGTGGCTCACACTTATTCACAGTCGGCAAAATAAATCTAGCTTCTAAACGAAGCCGATTAGTTTGTATGGTGAGTGGTCTTTCAGGTCAGATGGTGAGAGAACGGATCTGCCGAACTCAAAGAACCTGATTCGGTCCCCAGCGGAACTGTATATGTTCAGCAGTTTCATTATTTTCCAGACAGACACACACTGTCTTCCGACAGTACGTCAACTAGTACTCTCCATCTTTTGTTCAGTCAGAGTCATGTTTCATAGTGAATTACGTAGACTGAGAAATGAGGTATATATATTACTTTCAGTCATTCTCAGAAGCGGTGGGCTCTGTGTATATGTCTGGAGAGACCGATTCTATGTGTGAAGGATGAAATTTAGAAAGGGTCTCTTCTCTGCCTGGCATGATATAGAGAGCACGTGGTGGTGGTGATTTAAGTAAAATTTCGTATAATCACACATCTGAATGAATTCCAACTTCTTGAGGTATTCAAAAATCTGAATTTAAAAGTATTTTAAATATGAAATCGTATTTTGAAATTGTTAGTTTCAACCAATTATAGAGTCATTGGGGATTTTTTTGTAGTATAGTTCTGCCAGGCAAAAATATAAAAGCATACAATAGTAAAAAGTATACAACCACAGAAATATAAAAGCTTCAGAACTAATAGACGTATGAGAGCCACTAATAACATAGAAATAAGTAAATGCATTACCAAAGTAATAAATTAGGCACAACGGGTCTGGATGCCCTGTAAAACATAGGTCTAAAGTGGCTACTGCTCTATTTGGCCGAATTCCCCAATCTCAAGAATCAGAGATGTTTATTGGAAGGAGTGTAAACAAGCCATATGTTTCTTTGATGGTTTCTGGAATAATGATTCTGATCAGGAGTTGTGAGGTTTAGTGCATTGAACCCTAACAAAGCAAACATTGGAAAGAATGAATAATTTCAGGAAATTGACACTCTGATTTCGTCAACTAGTGACAATTCATATTCATTAGTGATTTTTTAATATTTCTATTCATTCATTAAATTCAAGGTTGGGAATGCATATCCCAAATGAAACTTCTGAGTCAACCGTAATCCTTGTTTTATTGGTATTCTAGAAGTATCCTCTATCTCAGTGTAACTATTGAAAATCCCAAGAAAACCGTATTTCTTATTTTATTGATATCTGTTTGAAAATCTGTTCACACAGTGTCCACAGTGACAGGTATTTAAAAAAAGAAAAGTATTTCAAGAAACTTCCAATTCAGTAACCCTTCTCAGCACTTATTATTGAATTTCTATGTGAAGTCAAGAACGGACTTGCACTTTCGTCTACGCAAATCAAGATCTAGTCGTTCCAACTGAGCACAGTTTTCACTCTAGATCAAGAGACGATCAGGAAAAAGATACCAAGACAAAGGAAAAATCTCGATGGTGGCCAATATTATTTGCTTTTTCTCAATTCAGAATTTCTCAGCCAATAGTTGAGGTTTTGTGAGTTGGAGAATGTTCTGCGTAAACAAGAAGCAAATTTATAAAAACAAAGTTTCAGAATCACTGCATGACTATCTGAGTTCCAGAACGAAGAGTTACCGGATTATTCCTAGTTCAACTGATCTGCCGTTGAAGAGATACAGCTGATTGGAAATATGATATTTTGGTTGAGTTTTAGCATAATAGTGTTGAAGAAACTTTGGTATTCATGTTTTGTTCATTCAATTCTCAAGTTGAAATCGACTGTATGAAAATCAGAAGTGATCACTCAACAAACATTACCAATGTTTTGGAAATGAGATTGTGGAACAAATATTTCATAGAAATCATGAGAAGAAGAAATGTCAAGACAGACTCTTGGGGAACTACACTTGTGGAAATTTGTTATTCAGAAAAAGTATTTCCGACAGAAACACAACTTCTCAATAAAAAAGTTATGAAATATACCGTCGAAATTGCTGAGGTCAGACAACATATCTGCAGTATAGTCATCTTCTTCAAGGGCTCTGACTGTGTAACACACGATTTCGCAAATCGCGTCAATCATTGATCTACCGATCGATTCCCATCATAGTTGATATATTTTTCAGGTTTATGATAAATTCATCACAAGATATTTTTGAGTTTGATTCATTGCCTCATTATATAGTTTTCTCAATGAAGAATACATTTTTCTTATGAATAATGTCGTCATATATAGTCGTTTTGTGTACCAATTATAGGAGAATTTTCTTCAGCAATAATAAGTTTTCAAGGAAAAGAAGATAACCCAAACAGTTACATCCAAGTCTCTTCTTCGTTTTTGATACAATCTTAAAAAATGTTTTAAGTGATTCAAGAACAGGGTTGAAAATGTCGTAGATACTTTTTCAAGATATATGTTGCCGATATCTGATAAAAATACATAACCTATTCAAGTGACATTATTCACGACATGGACTTCATTTTCAATATGTATTTCTCTTCAACAAAAGTTTTCTCAGATAAAGACTACTCATTGATAAACATATATTTATTTAAACAGTCAGCCAGCAGGTATGAAGCAGGTTAGTATTATTTTCTGTATGTAGTACGTCGTAGTTTATTGCATTGTTAATTAGTGAAGACTACTACTCCACCTTAGGAAACTACTGTTGTAGTAAAACGCTTATTGGAAATATAGTCTATATTGTGAAAACCTGCAATCATCATGATTTTCCCCAAGTAACGGGTCAGTGTATTCAAACTTTATTGAAGCAACACTTCATTGTGAGATTTTTACTAAAAATGCGAAAATATCACGATAAAATGTTACCTGAATACGTTATGGATTTTCATCAAGTATCGGCCAGTTCCATCACATGTCAGAATATCATCTATTCTATATAAATCTCAGATGAGTTGAATACTCTTGCGAAAAAAAAATGAAATTTTCAGGTCGTTTATACCTAGCTTTTTATATTTGTTACAATTTTACGTTGAAGAAAATTACCAGATCTAAAGAAAATAATTGTAGTCAAGTTAATATCAGTTATTTCCATACATGAATGTAATGATCATTGAATTCCAAGTTCGCAATTTATTTCAGATAAATTATTTGTTCCCACAATAACTTTTTTACTGGGAGACATTATGGCTCTAACTGGACGTTTTTTCGCTAAACCCATTTTCACAGTAAGTAATTAACATATATTCTTATGCAGTGTAGGAGTTTGATAAATCGTATTGATTTTCAGTGATAATTTTCAAATACCTCTATTCAGTTTTCATCATAAATACACAGTTCGATTAGATGACGAAGGAAATAGATGAGACACAAGCAACTGATTCAAACCTGTGTTGCCTATTCATCTGTCTATCTGTCTCATGAATTTTCTTTAATTCAACTTTCAGAAATAAAGAAGATATTATTTCGAAAATGCTTTCGTACAATTTAGATAGTTCTATATTCCTTACTACACTTCATTCCTACTATTAGCCGTTCAGAAAAACATCAAAATAAAGAATTATCATATTCAAATAACACTTTTTTTTAGATTTTCACTGGACAATTAACAAAACAGAAACACGTACTACGATTTTGTAAACTGTCCAGTAAAAATCACGCAATGACGTTATTGTATCGACAATGAGTGAATGTTTGAAGTGCATATCTAATGGAAAATGCAAAAACAAATCGATTTTCAATTCGAAGTAGAATATCCTCTCATTGTCACCTTCGCCACCGCCACTTGATGATAGTCACCATCAGAAATTCAATGAAAAAAGTACTGAGCGTAAAACATATTGAAAAAGTGATTTTATGAGAAATTCATCCATGGGACTGATCCGCTATGTGAGTTTTCATTTCAGCACCCTGTTGCGGGAAAAACAACTGTTCTGTGTTTCGAATTATGATGTTCCATTTATATGATAATCTAAACAAGTCATGAAGAGATAATGGTAATTGAGAAAAGTACATAGTGGGAACCCAAAAATTGAAAACCGTGTATTATGTGAACAATTTCAAAATACATTTATTCAGTAGCTGCTCGAATTTCCTTTCATTTTCTCTAATATATGAATTTGAGTTGGTGTTCCGATATTTTTGAGTATTTCTAGAGTTACTTTATGAAATTGTTTGTACCGCAAGAGGCCGTTATGATGAAAAAATGTTCGTCGTGAATTGATGATCGATCTCTTCTCAATTTTTTCCTCAAAAAATATATTCAACCTGTTCCGTTCTCAGTTCTGCGCATTGTCTGAAACAAACATCTTCATTGAGACTGAAGCTTTCAACTCCTATCTACAATTCCAGCAGCTCAAAATTTTACTGGTCTCTCCCTGAAAATACCAATAATGTCATTTCTACCACCAACATTGAAAAAATCCATTTCTCTACCATGTGATATAAAAATTGTTTTTTTTATTAAATTTTTCCAGGTACTATTTCAATCTAGGAAGAAACTGGAAAATTGAAAATTAAAAAAAAAACTCTAAGTTCATCATTTCATGTGGAACTGAATGGGGTGAATTCTTTTATAATATAATTCCAAAACATAGGCACAAAATTCTGTCTCTGTCTCTTGCAATGTCGTACGGAAATTATACTGAACAGATGGAAAAAATTTATGGAATACTATATAAATTCCAAAAATATTTCTGAGAATTCAGTGCCTACTAATATGAAATTGTAGACGGATTGAGTTTTTTCCATCCACAAAATAATTCATGAGTTACCCACCACAGATAATTCATAATAATTGAATGAAATCAATATATGGGATTTTTCATACAATAATACAGTTTCTGAGTGGATATTTCGAATTGTATGCTTGTCAAATAATACAAATATTTTTTATTTCAACAATAATTAGGACATATTCATTTATAATTTCTCCGTTTCAGCCAAATAATGCCAAATGGTTTGCTGCCTTCGATGTAACCAGAACAATTCTTATGACACCCCTATGTTTATTCTGCAATGCTTTGCCACGTAGGCATCTACCAGTATTGTTTCCACATGATTGGGAATACATATTTCTTTTGGGTAGTATTCAATTGATGAGAGCATTCTTCAGTACATGTTCAGCCCTAAGTATGAGAAAGTGAGTATATTTTTTGAATATTTGTTTCATTCATTCATTCATGTATTCAGTCATGCATTTATCCATTGATGTCATCATTTTGAAAAATGAAAAATTAAAGTTTCTTTATTTTTATACAACTTGTATTTGTAATTGAAGTTACAGCAGTTTAGTCTTGCCAGGACATTTTCAAACTGATTCAATTACAATAGTTTGGAAATATCCTAGTAGGTGGAAACTGCAGTAATGTTTGTTACAAATAAAAGTACTTGGGATGCACTATATGGATACTACTGGAGTTTTTTCCCACATCAAATCGTTATTTACCATGTCGACACGTGTTTCGATCACCAATCATCTTCAAGGGGAAGATTAAGCGCTAAGTATACTTACAATGTTATCCTTATTATTACCATAGATATCTCTTCTGTGTATCTGCGTTTTTTTTTTTGTACCTTGGGAGCTGTCTGACTTGTCCATTTAGTCCAATTATCCAGGAAACACTGCAGCCTCTTGGGCTTATTGCGTTTGTTCTCCCATCTTCTCATGATACCCATTCCATCAGTCTCGTTCCCTGTATCTGCATTTTAGGATCAATTTTACAATGTTTCCTTAGGTAATAGTCAGGTAAATCTAATAATTGAAATAGTATTTCAACAGACTATATCGTATACTATTAGGTATCGGTCCACCATCGTTATTTATAATATTATTATTTTGACTTATTTCTATTCTCTCATAGTTCTACTAGTTCCTTGAAAATCTTTCCTAAGTTTTTCGTGTATTGGTGGTATGGAGCTGAGCTATATTTATCTTGATTTTCGATGGTTTTTCTTCCTTATTATATCATCTACAATGCCCCTAGAGAAAACGTTACTGGCGGCTATTTCCTGTATTGTACGTTTTTCTTTCGTGAACCTGTCATATGTGAGCGGAAAAGTCAAGAAACGATGCACTAGAAAATTCAGCCCAGCACGTTTGTTCTGTCCACAGTGATGTGAACTGTCAGGAATATACCTGTTTGAAATCTGTTCAAAATCTATAACCAGAACTAGAAAATTCAGCCCACCACGTTTGTTCTGTTCACAGTGATGTGAAATGTCAGGATTATACCTGTACGTGCTTGTTTCTTTTCTAAATACATCGTCAGCCCTCCATATTGGCTCTTCATTTCCAAAACGTCAAGAAATGGATGTTGTTTCATTCTCTAACTCATAGGTGATTTTTTTATAGAATTCTGTTATTTGAAAAGGAGAGAAAGTCCTCAATATTAGATTTTTTGTTATCGAATATCGCGTAAACATCATTTACATACCTTAGCCCTATCCTAGGAAAATACTTTTACTTTTCTTCGGTTTCCATTTCGAATCTGCTCATGAACAGGTTTTCCAGGTATGGGGACAAGGGACTACCCATAGCCGTTCCCTCTTGTTGTGAGAAGGTGAGATTTTGGTTTCCTTTGATATTATTTCCTAGCATCCCAATTCCACAGACCTAACAATACCTAAGGGAAATACTGAAGAAAAATAATTTCGATAATAACAAAATTGATGAATTTTTATCCCTTACTGATTTGTGTATGAAACAAAATCGTTTCCAAGTAGAAGGTTGCCTTTATGATCAACGCTTTCGAAAGTAGACTGTATTATTGTATGGAACTAAATGGAGGTCATTTTGAACACTTTATCCGTTGATTGTGTTGCCATTTATATTACTTTTGTTGATTTCCTCAATAAAATGAGCGACAGCGAATTTTCTGTTTTTTGCTAAATATAACGTTCAACATTCAATTTCTCCATAACGAATGAACCAATTTCGAAAGAAAATACAGAACTAATATATGAACGAAATGCCTTTCAAAAGATGTATCATTCGAACCCCTAAGCCATTGAAAAAAATTGGTAGTTGCCGACCGAAGGGGCGTTAAGTTTCGGGTATGATTTCCATCAGTAATAGCCACCCTGGAAATAGAAATTGACGTGTTTTTTTGAATTTTCAATTACACGCCCATTTCCGACTAACAGGGTGGTCAAGTTTTCTTTAGAACGTTAAAGTTTGTTAAAATAATATTTCAATTAATATTACTGGAGTTTTTTCTCAACACCAAATCGTTATTTTTACACCTCGACACGTGTTTCGATCACCAAGTGATCATCTTCAAGAGGAAGATGAAACAGTTTTATCTTCCTCTTGAAGATGATCACTTGGTGATCGAAACACGTGTCGAGGTGTGAAAATAACGATTTGGTGTTGAGAAAAAACTCCAGTAATATTCATTACTACACCAAAGGTTCCAAACAGTACATCATAAATATTTCAATTATTAGATTCACCTAACTATTACATAAGGACGCATTGTAAAATCAATTTGAGACTAGTAGATAAGGTACTATTGTGAAATTACACTTGAGACGCAGTTACCTAGATGAGGTATTCATGGTATGAATACATTGTAAGTATATTTAGTTGGATCTTCCCCTTGAAGATGATCACTTGGTAATCGAAACACGTGTCGAGGTGTTGAAATAACGGTTTGGTGTTGTGAAAAAAACTCCAGTAATATTATTTTCCAAAAAAAGTGGTGGAAAAACATAAAAAAAATTATTTTATAAGGCAGTGATTTGGCGGTGGTTTAATAAATGCTTTTAGATCTCGACTTATTTGGGTGCCCTCGATCGAGGAAAACTTCGACAGAGCTGTTTGAAGACCTTTCATCAAATGTAGTGTATAAATATAATAAAATAGACTGAAGACTGACATATTGGGTTTCACAATCATCTATGCTCACTTCCAACGGCGATCTTCAAAAATATCGATTGAAGAAATAACATTATTCGAAAGACCTATCTAGCTCGATATTTCTAACAACGGATCAAAATTGATAGCATAAATGGCCAGGTTGAAATACAATAAATCAGGATCGTGCAATTTCCCTAGTCTGTTGCCCTGAATATATCATTTATGATGTGTTAAAGCGCAGTTGTACAACTGAAACCTTAAAAAAAACTTGATTTTATATTTGGTTATGAAGAAAATACTTCAAAATGTGCTTTGAGCCGAGTTTCGATCGCTTTGTCCAATATTTTTGATAAAGTACATGTATACTAATCGTTTGTAGGTTTTTCAATTCAGGCAGGTTCTTTTTTTTGTCAATACTTCACAACTGAACTCTTCTGATGATGGCAAATAGTTGTCACCATCAATCCCCGCGTGCTTTATCACCTCCGTGTGTTTTAAATATGTTCTGTTGTCTCTGTTGATCATAAAATATTCTATAACTATTCTTCCTCTTCTGCTAAGTTGTTCTCTATATTTGAACATATAGTTATGTTCAAATTTTGAATTTGACAATAATGAATAATTTTTGACAATTCTGTGTATCATCATTTGCTCATTGATTCAAGAAACCCGTTTGTGTTCTAGCAGTCATCTCATACGATGTCTCTCTGGTCTAGAAACGCCATACGATTTGACAATGTGTTCGGAATCGCAGTCGACCTGTCTGAGAGGCCGATGCGTTAGTTTTCTGCCAACGAGTATTCCACGAGATATCAAAACAGTTGCTGCCATGATATCAACAGTGTGTTTAGTATGGCTCGGGCAGCATGAGTCGAAATGGTTTTTCCAATAAATTGTCTGTGATGATATCATTGTCAACACAAATTGCACAATTTTTCACGAACAACGTCAACACTAACAGTTACCAACTAGGAACGGACAATCTGTCGGCTCAAAAAAAGTTTTGAAGACTTTGACACGTTACTTTGTGAAAATCAATAATACTCAACCATCGAAATGATTACAAACTACCACAGTAAAAAATTATTTCCAATACGCGTTCAACAATACGTTTCAACAGATTTTCCAGTTGGATTGGTAATCTACACAGTGTAGAGTACACAATCTTGAATGAAATTAAATTGAACAACTCCATTCACTTTGTCACAGTAATCGCGGTTCATGACTTTTTTTGTACAGGCATGTTGATGAGTGTTTTCGTTGCTCTCTATACTGAGGCATGATTAATCGAATTTTGTCGTTAGTGGGACGACATGTATGACATTATAGGCCAGTCATAATAGTACGGGGTTTCTAGGTCATGTGGCCCAGAATCCCCACAGACATACTACTCCTAGGACACCAATGACAATCAGTTACTTCGAATTCATTTTATTTGAAAGACACAATTCATTTTCACTCCGACTGTGGAAACGTTATGGGATACCCAGGCGGAATGATACAAGGAATTTGATGAATTTGAACTGAGTTTTGATGATGTCAACTTGATTTATTTGTGAAACTTGCATCGAGAAGATTACATTACATTTCTAGTGCTTAGGTACAAGTTCTGTGTTAGAATTACTTGATGCCAGAATTCTTCGTTCCACGTTTCAATGACAGAATTATGTGATTGATGTGTACCTCGATATACTGAATTTATTTTAACTTGAGACTCTGGAGACTTCCAATATAATGTTACATTTATACTCTAAGATAGATAGATGTTACAATCTGAAATATTTTTCTATTCACAGTTTGATTGGAGATCAGGCAGAACTTGGGTTTCTCATAATGCAAACTCTTGGAGGATTTACAGGAAGTATTTTCTCATTATTGAATCCAGTAATTGTGAATAAGCTATAATTGAATTGGGAGAAAAAAAAATAAGAAAAATTCGAAAATGTTATGACAAATTGGAAATACTCTTGACAATTGTAACTATTGATAGTATACAGTGTGCGAAAAATAAATACTGTGAAAAGTGGAATACATCTAACGAATATAATAAAGTCATATAGTATTTTGTTTCTTCTTTCGTGCATCATATCCGAATCTACAAAGTTAAATTTTTCAGTTGAATGTATATGGTAACAAATTATAATAGAATTTGCTTTGAATTACATATTGAGTATTGAAGTTTATAATATTGAAAAAAGATTTACAATAAAAGTGTTACATTATATGAACCACTTTTTTCGATCGTCAGTATTTTGTTTCTTGAATGGAATGCAAGGGTCGTCTGTCTCTCATAGATTCCATAAAAATTACTACAATTCAATTGTGCAGTTCGGAAGAATTTTTTTTTTCGAGAATCACATGAAAATCGTTCCAAAAATCATCCAAAAACTGAAACAATTTCGAATATATTCTGAATATATAGCTGAAAAAATCAATAATAAACGAGAATATCTTAAAAATGAACAAGACGTATTTTCACTGGAAAGAGAAACTTTTTACAGCAGAAGTAGCAGAAGAGGACGGCTATATGTAGACTTTCTGCGATGAGAATCGAATACCATTCGAAGCAGAATTGAACGACAATCAAAACGATGTGCCCCTTGACCCCCTTTCACATTTGAAATTCTAAGAGTAACATCTACCCCTCCTAGGGGGTTGAACCACGAGGGCTTAAAATTGAAAGTGTCTCCTTTGATAATAAAATCGAATTGTTCTATCGATTTCTATATTGTTTACTGGAAGGAAGATATTAAGGGTGGAAAGTTTTCAAATAGACCCCCTGTATATTTCGTGGCTGTTGAAAAATTTGATGATTTATTGTTATGAAAAGTAACGAGGCTAGGGGTTTAGTTATTCGTTTGCGAAATGAGTTTCTCTTAGTTAGCTAATAACAAATCTGATATGACCGTTAGGAAAAACCAACTGCAATATTCAATTATGATTTCCGATATAGTCTTTGCTTCTAATAATCAACAATTTCTTGTAGAAAACATTAGTTTTTGGTTTTGATACTCTTCGTAGTCTAATTCATCCTATGGAGGCGTACAATATTAAACTATTGTGTATACTTAAAATCTTTTCAAAATCTGTTTTTCCGTTAACCAGCTGTCGCACCCCTACGAACGACAACCCTCAGGAGTATAAACTTGTGCGAGCTAAGGATTAACGAGGTCTTGCACCCGAGCGTGTCGTTGTTGCCAAAGCAACAATTCTGTCACAGGCTTCAAGTTTCAAAAAGCATAAAGTGATTGAAAATAATTTTGATAATCTTGCTGAGGTAATAGATAAGAATCAATTCGAGTCAAAAGATATCTGGTATATGGACGAAACAGTAGTAACCCCCTTCCAAAACTCTAGCTAAATTGTAGCTCAAAATAGAATTGTATAAGTAGGTTTAGTAACTTCAGCAAGCTCCAGATTTTTGTCAAGAAAATGGACTAGTACTGCTATCGTTTCCACCCCATAGCACACACAAACTTCAGCCTTTGAATATGGTAGAATTTGAGTCATTTGAGAAAATGATAAATACGGCTACAGAAAACTGGATGCGAAATCATCATGGTCGAACGATGACTATTCATTATATTCCTAGGATTGTAAGAGAAGTATTTCCTCATTTTGTCACTGATAGAAATGCAATTACTGGATTCACCTATACCAGCATGAGTACATCTAATAGGAATATATTTACTGCTATTGACTACGCGTCATCATCCGTGACTGACCGGCCGTTACAAGTTAACGGACAAATGCCACCAAATCATGTGTTGACTAGTTCTGACGCAACGTCAAACATTCAAGTTGATCCAAGTACTCCAGTTGGTGATCTTTCAACATCAATTGACCAGACTGTTTACCGTACAGGTCAAAAATAATGACCAACCACCGGCTGTTCAAATTATACCGGACTCGATCTCTGCTGACACTGACCCTCCGTTAGCTGACTCAATTTTGGATCGAATTTCTAAATCACCAGTGGCAGGACCTAGCGAGCTGCAACATGCAAATTCTACCCAGCCGTTTAATTTATCACCGGAAGATCTTAGACCTTTACCACAAGTGGGTCCAAGGACTGAAACAAATAAAGTTTGTTAAAAATGTAGAACTGCAATTCTGACGGACACTCCCGAAAAAACTTAATTGGACAAGAACACCAACAACGAAATGAAGACAAGAAAATGGTAAGGCAAACTAATACTGGAGAAGATAAGAGAAAATTGATATCTCCAAAAGGAAAGTGAAAAGGAGAAAAGACAAAAAGGCACCAAAAAAAAAATAAAAATCTGACGACGAAGATGCTTTTGTCTTGTCTTTTTATAACCTTCAGACAATTGTCGACCAAATGAACAATATACAATGTATCGAATCTAAAATGTGGTCCCATGTGGAATGCCTGGGAGATGATAAGAATTATGTTTGTCATAATTGCGATTCTGAGTGAGAGAATAATGACTGAATTATAAAAGGACGATTATAAAAGAATGATCACCACTATATCAAATTGATCTCTTTACTAAAACTAGAATAATTTTTATTGATTTTTTTTCTTGAAATATCAAATTTTTTATCATTTATAATACAGAAGTTGATTTATGTTATCAATACAAAGTCTTTGAATGAATAATTTTTTGATTTTTCATATAATATTGTATTTTTTTTCTGTTTGATTCGGCCGTTACACCTCACGATTTGATCTCCACAAAATTTATTTCAGTGATTCAAATCACTGTTGAAAAAGCTACTGTATTAGCGAAACATGTCGTGATATATTTTTCAAATAAAGTTTGTGGAGATCAAATCGTGAGATGTAGTTTATGAAAATATAATATTGTATTCATTACCAACTCCCTTGTCTTGTTACTTTCGATCTACAACGTGTTGCTTTCGACCTGCCTACATGGTTGAAAGTAACAACTAACGATATTTTTTAATTTATGTTATTCATATAAAACATACTATAATATAATGATTTCGGTGGAGAGAAAATAAACTGGATTAATACACCCAGCCAGAAATCAAGGTAAGAGTACAAAGTGTTACTTTTGTATTCGGTCTCCCCTACATCATGAAATGTAGAAAAATGAAATAGCAGAAATCTACATGAAGAATTATATTACATATCTAAATAAATGTGACAGTGGAACACGGAATTCACTTTACCACGATCTCTTCTCAAAATTCTTGCATATCTCCTGTGAACTAGATATGGTATTATTGTTGAAATGTATCACTAAAAAAACTTTATATTGCACGTCGCAGCTGAAAATTTACATTTTCACATTTTATTGAGCTTATACAGAAGTTATTTCGAGATTATTCATACACACTCTGATTTTCATAGAAACAAGGACAACATTGAAAACATAACCTGAAGTTCAATTTGAAAGGGTTATATTTTTAGGAGGGACTAATTTTTGAAAAAGAAAGTTTTTGGGTTTCTACTACTTCATATCAATATAGAAAAATGTCGAAATCTTCCAAAGAAAGGTAGTAACTGTATACATAGATGAAACAGCTACTTTCAATTTATGAATGAAATGTGTGTTTTTTCTCATAATGTTATCCAGATTGGTACTGAAGAGCCCCAAGGCAAGAGTCTTACGGCGAAACATTGATGACTTGAGCATGACAGTGTTCCATATACCTAAGTGGAGTTTTTATTTTAATTCAGTACATAGTGTGGAAACCTTGTGAATGATATCTGATTTAATTCCGCTTGGAATACATATAATTCAATGTTTATATGAAAGTAGCTGTTTCAGAAAGGCTTTTTCTTCCAGATTTGTGTCTGAAAATCACTTCTTTGCATGATCTACACATCTATGTATACAGTTACTTCTTTTAAAATCGATTACTTCCTTTCCTTCTTTGGAAGATTCTCACATTATATACAGGGTGTAACTAAATAAGTGTAAAACATCTAAGGAGGTGATTCCTCATCGAAAAAAAGATAGGATCTTTCATATAAAGAAATTTCATTGGAGCATCCCTTGTTAAGATACAGCCCCTTAAAGGGGGTACATAAAATTTGTATAACAATTTTTTTCACAAGCACTAAAAAAGTTACAATATTGAAATTAACCTGACGTTTTGTACTACCAAAAAGACACTTAGCCAGAAATTTATTTGGTTTACCCCATGGTTGTGAGGGGTGGAAAACGCAACCCCTAAAATTTATTTCCAATGTAACTTTTTGTCTTATCATTTGTTAACCATTTCAAAATTTATTTTCGAGAGCCTGTTTAATTCTAAACAAAAATGTCTGCTGGGTTTTTTGCCCAAAATAAACCAGTTCGCAGCAAAAAATTATTTTACGAACAACTACAGAGACACATCGTCATAAATGGGAAAATATGAAACCAATCTATCTAGTAGGTCATTATTAGCGATAGTGACAATTAAATTGGTATGACGCTGTCAGTTTGTGAATTTTCGAAATTAAATTAATACTAATTGTGTGTTGTTGTTCTGTTCTTAATTTGTTACTATCACTTGTTTTTAAAATGGCATACACAGATGAGGAAATGGCTGATTACGTTTATGGTCTTTCGCAGGAGAATAGGTCAGAAGCTTCTAGAAGATATGCTGAAATGTATCCTCAACGGCAGCATCCTTCACATAGAATATTTGCATGACTTTATCAACGATTACGAGGATATAATTCATTCCACAAAAGAACGCAGGATTGTGGTCGCCATCGAGAAGTACGAACACCACAGCTTGAGGAAGCAGTAATCAATTTGATTGAAGAACAACCTACCACCAGTACTAGAAAGATTGCTTTTCAGCTGAATGTTGATCATATGACGGTATTTCGAATTTTAAAGGAACAACTCTTATACCCTTACCATCTGCAACAAGTACAGGCACTGTTACCGCGAGACTTTCCGAACCGTCTTGAATTTTGCAATTGGATGCTGAAAATGATCAGAAGAAAATGAGACTTTCTGAAGACGATATAATTCACAGACGAATGTAGTTTTTCTCGGGACAAGATTATTGATTTTCATAATTACCACATATGGGCTGATGAAAACCCTCACGCTATTGTCGAAACTAACC